AGCAGGAGCTAGTTTCAGCTTTTGACTGAGCTGCTGACAGTTTAGCTGTGAAAAGGTTAAAACTACCTATTGCCTGAGCGGGTAAGGGAGGGTGAGTGAGCTGAAGATTAGGCTCTGTCCCTGCTTTATCTGGCCAAAACTCTGGAAAAATCTTTTTCCTTCATTCCCTGTCTTCCAAAAATAAGATGCGTGCCTTACTTAGGGGTGTGTGGTATATGAGAAATTATAGTATTCTTTGCAAATGCTGTCCTGGAAACCTTCTTCCATGAATTAATGACTGAATTAAAGAGACCTTTCTTTGCATCAGGTTTAATTTTTTCCTGTCTATTGAAAATAGAATCTAACATTTTTTTTAACATTTAAGCAGTAATTGCATCCAAGATGTTAGTGAATTTCGAATTGTTAAAGATTCTTATGGTTGCAACAGACAAACCAGGTTGTCATTTCTCAGTGAAACTAAAAAGAGAAATTGTAAAGGGCTATCTTATGTCTCAGGTAGGCTTTAAATACTAATGCATGGTTTTCTTTTAGAGTCAGGAAGTGATATCCGAGAAATTAATTTAAAAACTTCTGAACTTACCAAATGTGAATGGTGTGGTGTACGAAAATTACCAGTAGTCTTTCTGCAAACAGTACCAGCTGCCTGTATTAGCCTGAGATCCCAATTGAAGATGAGTAGAGAGAAGGATAATGTCTGGTATGACTGTGAAGGACTGAGTAAGTAAATGTAAATTAGGCTTTCACTCTAACTTAGTGTTTTAATATGCGTTTTATCTTTTAGAGCAGGGGGTTGGACTAGATGATCTCTGGAGGTCCCTTTGAACCCTATTTCTCTATGATTCCTTAGTCAGATACTGTTACCTGCCTACTCAGTTGTGACATTATACCTTAAAACATCCCTGAAGAATTCAATTTTTTTTACTCCACTCATAAATATTATCATTTTTATACTCATTTTAACTTGAAGACAGTAGAGCAGATTTTGTTTCTGAACTGTTACCTTTTAATGAGGAGGGACCAGATCCAAATTTTCATGGCCATGGCCACTTAAATTGCAGATACTTTGCCTACATGTAAATACTATGCAAAGTGGGTTGGTCTAATAAAAGATATCAAATTCACCCAAGGAACCTTGTCTGCCTATGTCCTTAGACCAACATGGCTACAACCTAAACCCATGCAAAGTGGAATGCACTCATGAATAATATTTAGTGTGTGAAAAGAATCCCCCAAATTATATTTCATGTCATTGTGTAAGGGTGGTATTTATATATATATATTTAGTATTTTTAGCTACGATTAACAAGGAAATTGTACTGTTGTTTAAATGGTATTTCTTTTTTCCATTCACTTTAGTGTGTTATACTTCTGTTCTTATGTGAATTTTTTTATTTGGAAAAGAGTATGTTTTTAAGTCCCAAGTTATCTCTATTTAGGTTATATAAGAAACCTAGTTTAGAAGTTTAACTAGGCACGAGTCAATTTTGAACCTCCTCAATATAATTAGACTGATTCCCTTCCTCCCCCCGCCCCTGCAATCTAAAAGATATTGACAGTACTATTTTAATGTGTGTGTTTAGTTTGAGGCTTTTTAATAGTATTTTGTAAACAGGTTTTTCATTTGCATGTGTTAAACTAATAATTTTGTATCTATTTTCCTTAGATCCAGAAGAACAGTACATCATTTTAATTTTTGAGACTAGTCCCGATCCTCATGCAAATACAATATTTGAAAAAATTATTGCTGACATTGGTATCAGGAACAATATTTCTGACTTCTTTGTGAAAATTTCCTTTGAAGAAGCTAATAGTAGGCTTGTTGCCTTTACAAAGTTTATGGAAGACAACTCTAAAGGAAGCCCTGCGCATAAAGAAAACAAAATTAAAAATGTAATCATGTATCTTTTGTTTTGGACCAAAATTCCATGACTTGTGATGTCATTTTGATTGTAACTAACTAGTTAAAAGACTGTGCTGTATCATTAGGAACAGTTGTCTTCTAGGAGATGTGTTTATGGTTCTGGCTTTTAATTAGAACATTTCATGTTCCAGAGTTTCCCCTAAAGGTGTAATAATGTTTGTAAAATTCCAAAATAAATAAATAATGCTGTTGGATTTGTAGCCAAATGTAATCAATGCTTTCTTTAAACTAAATTTAATTCTCCAAGAGCTTGCAAAATTTTGACCTACTTCCACTTTGGTTAGTCTGCCAGTGAGACTGACATAAGCTGATAAATAAACTAACAAAGGGAAGGAAAACATAAATTTTAGACTGGTTCTGAACAGTATTTTCATTTGATTAGAAAAATGCTGTGCTTAGCATCTCAAAGCATTCTTTTTGAACAGTGAGATGCATTCATTTGGGAGGGGGAATGTCGAAGATTTATTATTTTAATTTTATGAATGAATAGGCCATGTAAATAAATATTACTTTATTATTTATTACTTTATTTTATAAGGTTGTTTCTGAATCTAAAATGCAGCTGCGAAATAAAACACCATTCCAGTTTTTTGATGAAGAGGATGAAATTGGAGAGCCGCATACAGTGTTTATCGGTCCTATAGAAAAGTAAGACATCTTTCTTTTATCTGCTGTGTTTTTCAATGGTTATTGGTGTTTCATATGTGTTTAATGTATTTTTCTTTGCAGGTTGATAGTTTATCCACCTCCTCCAGCTAAAGGTGGTATTTCTGTGACCAATGAAGACCTCCATTGCCTAAATGAAGGAGAATTTTTAAATGATGTTATTATTGATTTTTATTTAAAGTAAGTTTGTTACTTCAAGCTAGTCTTTAGTGTGCTGTTACTGTGGCTATTGAAATAGTTTTGCGTTCAAGTTCTATAGTTCAGTTGGTTTTTCACTGTAAATATCTACCAATTACAAAAGTTTGTTTTTTATTTCTGCAAGGAAATTTATTCTTTTGGATTTTGACCTGTTTATCCTTGTTGAATCCTTTCTTAATTTGAAGCAAGGTTCCTTAGCTCATGTTTGTATGCTTGGGGTGAAGAGGAATAGTAGGAATAACTATAAAGAAAAAGAAACTTAGTCAGACCTTCCTCTATACAAGTTAAAATGTTCAGAACCAAACTTGTGTGCTGTAGAACTGAATTATTTTGATTTTTTTGGCTGGTATATTTGTATAGTCTTTCAGCTTCCTATTTTATGTGGCTTTTCTTTAGGTTATTGTGTACATGCATCTTCAATATATTAAAATATGTTTTAGAGGAGCAGAGAATACTGAGTGCTTCAGTCTTGGGACGTAATACTAACTTTATTCTTATTTTGTAGCAGAGCTGCAGTATATTCAGTGTTATGTCAATGGCCTACTAACATAAGTTTAAATCTACCATACCACAAAAACAGAAGTTAACCCTCCCCCCCTCCTCCAAAAAGAAAGAGGAAGGCAAGTAAAGTACTAATGTAATCTCAGAAAACAAAATTGCTTGAGTAGAGCTGCTGCTCTGGGTAGTAGGTGTGCATTCATTACCTTGACTGCAGTTAGTTAAATAGTTCTGCCATTGTTACAGTTCAATCCAGTTTAACTAGGAAAGTTTGCAGGGTTCTGCTGATGTTTAGTTAGAATAGCCACTGTGTGGCAGTCTTTGTCATTTTGTTGAGTAATACTGACCTGTACAAAGGAGTGAAGATTGCAGGGATTGTATATTAATTAACATATTTTTCTTAAATAGGTATTTGGTACTTGAAAAATTGAAAAAAGAAGATGCTGATAGAATACATGTGTTCAGCTCATTCTTTTATAAACGCCTTAATCAAAGAGAAAGGAGGAATCTTCATGAAACTTCCAGCCTCTCGTAAGTCTGGTATAATGTCTCTTTATAATTAAGACCTAAAAATAAGAGACCACTGGAATAGAGATGCTTCAGAAATCAAACTATTCAGAGCAATGCATGGAATTTTCCTTTTGGTCAATGATGCTAGCCATACTCCAAGAAGTCTTATCCCAAAAACTATAATAAATGTAAAATATGCAGTAACAATCTTTAAAAAAAAATTTCTTTTGTGTTGCTAATATAACAGGCTGCTTGCAATCAGCTATTAAATAAAAGCGCTAAGAAAGCCCCGCTAAAGTGCCCGATCTATACAGACAGGCGAGCTGGGTAAAACTATCATGCTGCTGCTTGTGGGTATGTACTGTGCTTAGCACACGAACCTGCCCAGTTTAAAGTAAAGCATCTTTTTGTGGGGGGGTTTTGTGGTTGTTTTTGGGTTGTTTTAACATCTGCAAACAGCCAAAATGTCCAGAAAAATAGTCTTAAAATGAGAATAATAATGTAACAAATCATAAAAGAGTGAAAAAAAATTCTACATAAGAAATTGTATAATATTTAATATCTACTGGGTCTTTCTGGTGTCTTCTTTTAGGATACAACAAAAACGACATGGGCGAGTGAAAACTTGGACACGGCATGTTGACATTTTTGAGAAGGATTTTATTTTTGTTCCCCTTAATGAAGCGTAAGTAAGAACCATCTTTTATTTAGATGTGTGATAGTGACTATTTGGGTTGCCAGTTTTTTAAACTAAGCAAGGTTATAGTGGTTGCACACAAAGTTAAAGCAGTATTTGCCTTGCAGGAAAATCGGTCTCTCTGCAAAAACTTTTTTTTTTTTTTTTTTTTTAAATCAGTAATCCACTGTAAGCTCTTGCCCTGGGACTGCACCAGGGATTCAAACTCGTCCTGGTGTGGTCTGGGGCCAGGGCTGACAGCTCGTTGTCAAAGCCTCATGCCTGACAGCTCTGTCCCAGCTGCTGGGCACAGGGGATCAATGCACATCAACTGCAGCATAAATGTAATGTGTAGAGGGAACTGATATGCTGTAGAAGTGACTGACTTTTTTTATGGGGTTACTGGAGTTTGATCTCTGCTCCCAGAAAGTCTTCTCAAAATCCTACACAATCATGGCTTGCAGCAGTTTTGTTGGGAACTGTGGGATAAAGAGCAAGGAAAAGTGATTGAAGGAAGATTTGTGAGAATACTTGATAGAACTAGATGGGCGATTTGGACTCTACTGTGATGCCATTTTAAGATAGTTTGATTTTATTGATTCAACTGCTAATGATGGAAATCTCCAGCATAGAAAAACTATAATTCAGAAGTTGAAGTAGTGAGTCATTTTCATTCAGCTGCCAGTGAACTTTGCCAGGCTGTTTTACAAGTTGATGGTAATGCTTATATTAAACGCAGGAACAACTTGACACGTGAAATGTTTGGATTTGGTACAGCGTTTACCTCCAGTAGCTTAATTTGTGCATTTGGAAGAAATGAGACAATGGTGGAGTTTTCAGCATACCTAATACCACTTTTAACAACAATTGAGGAACCTAATTACCACTGACTGCTGAGAATTCGGCTTCTAAGTTGGGGTCAGGGGGTGGCAGGGACCCACTAGTTAAAACTCTGATTCATCTATATAATGTATAGCTTGACTTTGTGCTTCAGTAAGTGACAGGACATTCTGGAGGAGGGAAGACAGTTGGCCATGTTAGCTGCAGGTCTGGCTAGCTGGGCTGCTAGCACTGAACCTATGTACAACCTTTAATTAGCTCTACATTTAATCAATTCACACCATATAGAAGAGAAGATTACCGTATTTTCATGCATATACCCCACCCACAGGTATAAGCCTCACCCATGTATAACCCGCGGAAAATTGTATTTTTGTAAATAAGTCCGTCTATACGCCACACCCGTGTATTCCTCACGGCGGTGTATACACGGGGAGGCAGCGCAGCCTGCCCCGGCAGTGGCAGCACAGCCTGGCGTGCCCAGGCCCAGCGGGGAGGCTACACAGCCCGGCCTGCCCTGGCCTCAGCCGCGCGCCCCGCCCCCCGCCCCTCAGCTCCTTCCTGGGAGCCACGGCTGTGGCGGCGCAGCCCGGCCTGCCCGGGCCCAGCGGGGAGGCGGCGGAGCCGGCCCCAACCCCCCCAGGAGACGGTGTGGCACAGCCCGGCCCGCCCCAGCCCCCTGCGGCAGTGCAGCTGACCCCAGCCCCCACAGTAGTGGCGGCACAGCCTGGCCTGCCTGGGCCCAGCGGGGAGACAGCACAGCCTGCCCTGGCAACCTGTGGGGAAAAAAAGTCCGCCAATAGCCCATATCCCTGTATAGCCTGCACCCATCCGTTTTTTTTGTAAAATTGCGTATACCCTGCGGGATATATGCGCAAAAATAAGGTAATTAAAAACTTCCTGTTTTAAGCTTCAAAGCAGGAAGACCTTTAAAATATGAGCGAATTTAAAGGAAAACCCAGGTAGGTTCCTTTTTTAAAAAATAATCATATCTGACTAGCAAATTTGGTAGTGAAAATCCTGCCTTTGGAGAGAGGATTGTGGACTCTTAAAGCAAATATGTTCAGGAAAGTGAAAAACAAATCAACAGATCTCACAGTCAGTCACTAACTAGTTTTTATTTGCTTTTATTTAACCTTAAATATTAAGTAATGTATTTATTAATTGCTCTTAACTCATTTTTCTTTTGTAGTGCCCACTGGTTTCTGGCTGTCATCTGTTTTCCTGGTTTAGAAAAATCCAGATATGAGCCAAATCCCCACTACCATGAAAATGCTGCGGTGCAGATAAAAGCCTCTTCAGAAAGAGATATTAATTCTCCATCTCCTTTGCCAAATGAGTTTGATACTACTTCACAAAGCTCTCCTTCCAAGTCTACAGTAAAGAAGATGCTGAGCAAAAAGCATAATACATGTTTACCTGAGCTGAACACTGAAACAGAGGACAGTGATTTACCGTATTGTCGAAGAAGCCCTTGTAGGGGGAAAAGTGGTTTTAAAAAAGTAAACCAAATAGACAGTGATGCAGAAGAACCTGCGCCTGTGGAATCTGCATGTCATAAACTTGATCATAGGACTACAGATGAAAATGACATGCAGAGTGAATATAGAACCACCGCACAACCTATGGGTATGTCATTTTACAACTTTAGTGGAATGCTTAAGGGTAGAAGATAAATTACAGTAAGTTAGTCATAAGAAGCATGGTATCTCAGCTGTGCAACTTTTTTTTTTTGCCCTACATTTTCTTTTGATGCTTCTCACTTCAACATTTTTCTTCACCTTCAGTGTACGGGATGGGCAGAACTTCAAGAAATAAGTGCTGCGTGAGAGAGAGTGATCTCCTCATGGGATTAACACAGCTATATGGGTATTTCACAAACATTAATGGCCTTGTGCTAATTATTAAGCTTCTAGAAAGAAATGGAGTTCTTAAACTCCATTTTAAATGTGGGCACAGATTAAGTCATTTTCAGGATTGTTATGTCACTTTGAGTACCACAGTGGTGGACTGACCAACTGGATGTATACAACTTTGTTGGTTGGTTGTTGTGGTTCCCTCCCACCCCCCACACCCAGAAGTGTTAAACCTTTAAGCTCCCACTGTCCTCAGTTATAGTTCTGAGAGCTCCACACTTGTGGAAATCGGTCCCTAGGTGATTCAAGCCAGGCACACAGAAAATGAAGAGGCTAAAATTCAAGTAATTGTCTACATACACATTCTCATCTATGGGGTCTTGCACCCTGTGCTTTGACCAGAGGGTGTTTTTGTTTTTTGCCTTGCTGATATCCAAAGAGTGCGCATTCACCATGCCCCATCCTATGCTCCAGTACTGAAGAGATAAAGGGCTGTGTGCACTTCCAGTTTCTCTCAATCTGCTATAGACAGAACTGCTTGTTTTCCTAGCAGTTTCAAACCTTAGGAAGGACTACAGACCCATACTACTTTTTTACACATCTCCTACAGTTTTGTCTTCCCAGGAAACCTGTATGAGAGATTTTTTTTTTTTCTTTCTGGGATAGTCTGCACTCTCATCTATCTTCCAGTGGTTCCAACTTCTCCCTCTCCCTCTCCCTTTTCTCTGTCTGCTACCCCAGTCATTCATGCCAAAGACAAACAGTCGCCAGTAATGGGAGCTCCACTTCACCCAACACAGGTCCTGTTGCCAGCACTGGCAGAACTCTCTCAATTTGAATGCTATCTAGGAACTTTCTCAAGCCCAGGTTCACAGCCACTTCTGGTACTGTATGCATTCATGAAAAGACAGGCACTGCATGGATTAATCAGCAGACCCTAACATTTCAGCACTATAGCTCCCAGCATAACCACCTGTACCTGTCTGGCCTTAGAGTTTTCAGTAGCTCCCTCAATGGTCCAAAGGGACACTTGTCTTTCAAAACCTGTACTCAGGTTCTGGTAGAAAAGTTTTTGTTTTTCCCTGAGTTGCAGTGACCATTCAATACCCATACCAAAAAAAAGTCAAGGGAACACTTCTGTCCAAGACCCACTTTAGTTCAATCAACACCCAAATCCTCCATAGATATTGGGGGTTTCCACAAAGTAATAGAAAGAATCACAGACACACAATCACAGACATGAGAATCTTCCCCATAGGAGATTTCAGAACAGTCAAATTCCCTGGTTGACATAGATCGCCATTTGGGTGTTGCAAGATTGACCTTGCCCATTAATTTAGTCAATCATAGATTCAGCCCAGATGATGGATGACAAAACCCCTGCATCTTGCCACTCAACTGCCAGGAAGGCAGATAAAAGGGACAAAATCCCTTCCAGGTCTACTGAGTTACCTACAGACTCATCTTGACCCTTAATAGTTGTGGTAGGGAATGAGAATCACAAGTTGAATATGGATAAGAAAACCAGGAGACTGAGCCAGTTCAGCAAGAGGGACCCAGGAATGCATACACTTACAAGTTCACAGTGATCACTGGTGTCAATAATATCCTTATTGCATCCAGGGCATAGGTTTGTGTCTAGACTTAGAGTGTCTACTTCCTTGCCACCATTCATCCAATTCCTACATGAGCCTCTAATTCAGAATGATTAACTCCCAGGCTCTCCTGGTCTGTGTGATTTCTGAGACTATAGAAAGATGGAAGACCTCATGGAATCACTTGCTCCAGAGGTGCAAGGATGACATATCTGTGATATGAAGGTCCATATGGTGGGTGCAGAACAGCTGTGGCAGCTGTGATATATGTTGTGAGGCTTGGGCTTCCTGAAAAAGTTCCATGCTACTGTGAAGGCATGGTTCTTTTCTGTACCAGGTGCCTTTGCAGAAATGACTTCTCCCTGGCAGCTGCAGGGGCTTGGCTACATGGGGCCTGCTGGCACTGAGGCAGCAGTGTACGATGGGACTCCAAATGTACCTGGCACTGCTGTCTGTGTGAAGGTCCACCCTCCCATCCAGGACGGCAGCACAGGCTATGTGGGGAGCGGGGCTGCGGATAGGAGCTGTGGGCATGGGAGTGAAGTGCATGGGAATAAGAAGATCCTTCCTTATCGAGGACCAGAGCATGCAGGAGGCATATATGCAAAACAAATAAAATAAAGATTTGTCAGTAGTATAAAATGCCTTGCACTATTACTAAATATCAGTTATTGGATCGGCATTGGCCAATGTGGTTGATTAATCATCAGCTGTTGGTATTGGCCAAGAAAAATCTTCATTGGTGCACCCCTGTCTGTAACCTGTTCTTTTGCCACTGTTGGTTCCTCAACTCCCCTCTAAGCTGGTGCCAGGTGCAGTAGTCTGGGAGCTGACCTTGCCTGGGAAGACTGAGGTGAAAAAGCATTGAGTACTTCAGCCTGTTCTGAATCCTCTGTCACTAGGTTTATCCCCCACTTAGTAAACGACTCACACCTCCTCATCCTCCTCTTGTTGCTGACGTGCTTGTAGAAACCTTTTTTGTTACCCTTCACATCCCTTGCTAGCTGCAACTCCAGTTGGCCTTTGTGATTTCATTCTTGCATACCCAAGCAATACTCCTATACTTCTCCCTAGTTGTTTGCTCAAGATTCCACTTCTTATAAGCTTCCTTTGTGGGTTTTAGCATACTGAAGAGTTCTTTGCTAAGTCCTCTGCCCTACTAGCTAGTTTTCCTGCACATTGGGATGGTTTGTTTCTGCACCCTGAGTAAGGTTTCTCTCAAGTACAGCCAGCTCTCCTGGACTCCCCTCCCTCTCACACTGGCCTCCCATAGGATCCTGCCCATGAGTTCCCTGAGTGAGTCGAAGTCTGCTTTTCTGAAGTCCAGGGTCCTTACTCTTCTGTTCTTCCTACCTTTGCTCAGGATCCTGAACTCAGTCACCTCGTAGTTGCGGCTGCCTACGTTGCCATCCTCTACTACATTCCCCACCAATCCTTCCCTGTTTGTGAGCAGCGGGTCAAGAAGAGCACATCCCTAGTTGGCCACTCCAGCATGTGCACCAGGAAGTTGTCCCCAACACTGTCCAAGAACTTGCTGGATTGCCTGTGCACTGCTGAATGTCAGGGTCCCCCATGAGAACCAGGACCTGTGATTGGGAAACTTTCATTAGCTGTTTGAAGAAAGCCTCATCCACTCCAACCTCCTGGTCTGGTGGTCTACAGCAGACCCTCCGCCATGACATCTCCTTTGTTGCTTTTCCCTCTGACCCCAACCCAGAGACTTTCAGCAGACCTATCTCCAGTTTCATAGTGGAGCTCTAAGCAATCCATATGGCTCTTAGATAAAGTGCAACTCATCCTTATTTTCTCATGCCTGTCCTTCCTGAACAGTTTGTACCCATCCGTGACAATGCTCCAGTTAAGCGAGCTCCCACCGACTCTGTTATTTTCATTCACATCTGTTAGTTCCATGACTGTGCAAGGACTTTTTCAATTCTTCCTGCTTGTTTCCCAGGCTCCTTGCATTTGTGTACAGACACCTGAGGTAACTAGCTAATTGTCCTAGTTTCTCAGAAAGAAAATGAGAACACCTCCCTTGTTGCCCCCTCCTGTTTGTCCTTCCTCCAGGTCACCCACTTCCATCAGGGCTTTGGTCTCCATCCCCTGGTGAAACTAGTTTAAAGTTGTCCTCACTAGGTTACTGAGCCTGTCTATAAGGATGCTTTTCCCTCTTGTCATCAGGTGAATCTTGTTTCTTCCTGGCAATCCTTCTTGGAACATCATCCTTTGGTCATCCTTGCTGGCAACACCATCTGTGCAGCCATGCATTGATCTGCAGGATGCGCCCGCTTTTGCTCAGGCCCTTTCCCTTGACTTGAAGTTTCAAGGAGATTACCACCTGAGCCTCCATCCCCGTCACCTTTGCACCCAGAGCCCTGTAGTCACTTTTGATCTTCTCAGGCAGTATCATTGGTGCCCACATGAATGAGCAGCATAGGGTAGTAGTCAGAGGGCTGAATAAGTCTCGGTAATTCTTCCATGACTTTTCGGATCCTGGCTCTGGGCAAGGAGCAGACCACCTGAGACAACAAGTCTAGCCAACTCGTGAGTCCAGACCAGCTGACTTTGAGAGGAAGGAAGATCTTCTGTTCCATCTGCGGTATAGCCTAAATGCTAGATGGCTTTCTCAGGTAGTGAGACTGCTTGATCCAGGCTAAAAATGTTCTAAAAACATCCACAGTAGAAAAGACTGTCAGGCATACCTGCTTGATGAAGTGGAACAGATTTTCATCTTGTTGTTAGGCAAGGAAGATAATCTTAGCCAGGCCTTTTATGGACCTCAGATATGCTGATCTTCCTCTCATCTCAGTTCGTCTCTCTAGCAGGTCTCTAGGCCACTCACCTGCTAGTCAGTTTTTCACTGAAGGGCCTCAGTTTCCCTAAGGTCCTGTCCAGAAGTTTTTCTCAAAGTGAGCCAACCTAGCTCTGCAATAAGACCTAAATTTGTTTCTCTCATCCCTAATGAGAGGGCCACTTGAGCCTATGATAATGTGCTCCCTTGTTCACTTTCCATTAAACAGGCTTTCTAATGGTGTTTTTGTTGGTAAGGAGAGTGTGAGATCCAAGCTCTTATGGCAAAACCCCCATATGGGTACCACCTTTTCCACAGAAAAGGTGACCTTGAGGACTAACCCCCAGTTTCCAACTGTGCCCTCAAGCATTCATTTGGGGCAACAGG